TAAGGTTTTAAAAGTTTTTAAAATTAAACTTAATTTTATTTCCTTTTATGACATTATAAGAAAAAAGATGAATGCTTTCCAATTCATAGTCACAAAGCTGACAAAACGTTCCCACTCATGGAGTCCTATCAGTCAGTGACTGTGGGGCAGACAAAACAACTCATCTTAGCTGGTTTCTCCATAACAGTCATGCCTACTCACATGGCTTAGCTATATGTTATATACGTATTCGTATGTGTATGTATATATACATATATATGTATGTACACATATATTTAACTCATATGATAGTCTTGTTACTTATAATTGTAAAATGAAACAGTATGAAAAATTACCAAGGCTATAAACAGTCTAAATGAGAATCCAGCTAAAGCAGCAATGAATTTTGTTTCCAAGTTAAAAGCTACTTACTACATGTTCCAAAATCTCCCTAATCAACAAGATCTGTGATCCCATACTAACACCAACACTTGATGCGAACCAAGTTTACCAGTGACTTCTTCATAAAAGAGCTTCCCAGGCGGTGTAGTGGTAAAGAATCTGCCTGCAATGTAGGAAACATGTGAGGCTAGAGATGTGGATTCAATCCCTGAGTCAGGAAGATCCCCTGGAGGAGGAAATGGCAACCCAACTCCAGTATTCTTGCCTGGACAATTCCATGGACAAAGGAACTTGGTGGGCTACAGTCCAGGGGGTCACAAAGAGTTGACTTCTACTGAGTGACTGAGCATGCAAGCCTCTTCATAAAAGAAGAGGCAAAATGATATGAAGAGCTGTCAGATTACATGAGAATTCTTTTTTAAAAGCACTCTGTCTTTTGCATCACTTCATTTAAAAAAATTATCATTCCATACCTAATAAGCCAGAAATTGCTAATTTTATCCCTACAACTTTAGCGTTTCATCACTAATTTTTTCTCTGTTTTTCAATGTGTATAAAAAAAGCAACAAGGAATTATCTTGCACTTCAATGCTATTTCCCCTCAAGTCCTTCTCCTTTCTACCTTTTCAAATCTTATCCACATCTCAAAGACCCTAAATTTTCCTTTCAGCTCTTCATTCCCCCTAAGAGCTTAATCATCATGAAAAGCTCCACTGTTTATTTACATTTTCTTTACTGGGGTATAGTTGTTTCATAAAATCTCCACTGTTTAATTGTAACAGTTGGATATGTGAGTTCCTGTATATGGCACTGATCCATTTTTGTTAATCGTGACAACCTGAATAAACCATAAGCTTCTTCAAATTCATATCTTACCATCTTTTTTAAGCTTCTGCCACTCTTTTTACCAAAGGCTTACCATACTATTAAGTACATAGTAAGTATTGGTTTATAAATCTACATATTCTTATTCGCAAGTATCTTTCCTTAGATCACAGTAAGAGTACCCACTAAAAGCAGCAATGTCTTTTCACAGTATTGGTGCTCAAAGACAGGATAAACGTCACCCAAACAACTCTCTGAGTTCACTGAGACCAGAAACTCCAAACTTCTCATACTGGTAGCAATAAAAAAAAAAAAATAACATAGTATTTGGCACACAGTAAATACTGAATAAATATGTTGAATTATACTTAAGGCTTTCCCATTATAGTAGAGAAGACCCAGAAACTCATATTATTTCTGAACAACCAAGCTATTTGAGGTTTTACTAAATTCAGAGGGCAGAATAAATCTGCCCTTAGACACTGTAGAAATCCCAATCCTCTTCTCCTAATATTCAATCTAATTATAAATGGGTAAGTAATAATAACTAATGATAAAAGATACCAATTGTAATGAAATTTTGTTACTATTAAAGAGTTCCAAGCACCTACTATTCTATTGGAATCCATCCCACGACCTGAATTTTCAGATGACTGAAGTCCAGTAAACTTCTAAAAAGAAAATAAATTTCAAAACAACCTCAAACAGAAGTCCAATATTGTTGGTGAAGAATGTAGACAAAAATAAAGGACAAAATATTCAAAAAAGAATACTGCATTTTAGACAGAATGAAAACAACAGGGGGAAAAACAAATACCATATGGTGAATGATATAGTAATCAAGTCATAATCACTTTCTTATTTCTAACTTCTGTTCCAAGTTAATAAGAGCTCTGTGCTAATTTATATCAAAATACATCATGGCCTAAAATCATACCATTGCCAATAAAGGAAATAGAATTCCTAATGCAACAGTTTGTATTTAATATATTCCTATGATAACCTGCCAGAATAGCGAATGTAATGACTGATGAATAGTGATATTTATATTTACAAATCATAAGTATAGACACTAACAGGTTTTTTCAGTTACTCTCCCATTCAAAATTACATCACAGACATGTTCAGTCATGTGTGCAACATTATCTTAAAAAGATAAATGCTGGACAACTGCAAGATGTCATAGGTGAAACATGCCCTATAAATATTTTGCTCTTGAAATAACTCTTTCTCCTACAATATAAATGGCCAGCGTTTTGAGATTCAGACGTAATATATACAACTCCATGTGCAAACTTAGGATGATGATATCCTCCTTACAAAAGTAATTAACAATCACATCAAATCATTTATCACTCATGAAGTTTACTCCTGAGAGTGAACTCTTTAATCAATCAGGCCCCAACACCAAATCAAAGCTTACACAGCATCAAGTCAACATTTCATCTTTAGATATGCCTAGAAGACAGATCCTTTCATTTATTTGGTTGTACATTTTCTATTTCTTTTACATACCGGTTTGCTTGGTGTTGTTTTCCCTAAAAAAGAAAAATCCTCAAGCAAATGAAAACACAGAAAGAGCGAAAGGGAGAGAGACCCACAGACTCCCTGATTTACTTCTTTGTGATTCCAACCAAGATCTATGGTGAGGTTAAAAGTTTCACAATACATCAACCTGGTCTGCAAACATCTACAAAATAAAGATGCAAAGGAGAACTGGGACCACGGGAAGTTTCTTGTCATTTATTCCGCCTAAAATAGAGTGAAGTGACACATGGTAACATAAGAAGTATTTGCCCAAAGATGCCATTTTCACTGACTACCTTCCTCTTAATCTCAGGCTCCCCGCTGAAACAGTAAATATGTTTCTGGTTTCTGTGAAGTATTTGCCCAAAGATGTAGAGTTTTCATTGACTATCTTTCTCTTAATCTCAGGCTCCTGGAGGAAACCATAAAAATGTTTCTGTGCTGATGCAAGTTTCCCACATCCCCAATCTTAGAAACCTCAGCAACTGAAAAGCACAATTCTGCCAAAAGGAACTAGCAAAAATTCGTTCATTTTTTCAAATACACCATTATGTTTCAGATGAAAGCACAACCTGCCAAAGATGTCAAATAAAAGGGTAACAAAGAAACAAACAGCATCTTTAGAATTGAATTTCAGTGCATAACCTTGCCATCTGCCAACCAGTTGTGAAGCAATGATCCTAGAGAAGCCCTGAAACATGAACAAGTAAGTTTCCTCCTCGGATCGATCACCTGTATCACTCTCCGCTTCCAGGTTAGGAATTATATTGTCGATGGAGCAGCCTCCAAGAATGACACTTGCCATTGGCAAACCGAACCCTGTTGACAAATGGGCCATTTAAACAGACTTGCATTTGATAATATTCGCGGAGTTCAGTTCACAGAGACAATGGGGAGATGGGAAGGAAAAAAAGGGGGGGGGCTCTATCTTTACATTTGGATTGGAAAGTGGACAAAGGAGGTCAATCTCTAGAGGACAGACATCCAAAGCACCCTCAATCTCCTCCTACTTGGCCTCTAAAACAGGATTACAATTTTGCATCTAGACTACGCCCCACCCCTTCCCTTCCCACCGTGGCTACCACCTTAGAAGTTACCGCGGTAGCTCTCGGGTGACTAGGGGTGCGGATTCTCTGACGCAAAACAGCACCGGGAGCCAATTCAGTAGCGGGTAACTACAGGGCTGGGACAGCCACCAGCTCCTCGGAGAAGCCACCTTCGGGCTCGCGGGAGACCCCACCGCCCCATCCCTGCCCTCGCCCTCGCCCCCGCCTGCAGCTGCAGCGGGAGTTACGCATCCTCAGCCTTGACGCTGTCTGCGCTTCTTCCTATCCGGATCAAGGCTGCTGAGGATGGAGGGGCAGAAGTAGAATGGGGGTGCGGGGGAGCGAGAAAGAACCAAAACAGTCCGGGCCCCCAAAAGCTAGAACTCAAGTGGCCAGAAGCTGGTGCACGCACATCACACACACACACGCACACATATACACACACACACACATCCCGAAGCGCTCCGTGCCCCAGCTTCTATGCCAACTGGCGATAGGACGGGAAGAAGAAAGGAGGTGGGGTAGCGGGCAGGCCCGGAGTTACTAAGGAGTGCAGCTGTTGCCTCCAGAACTGCCAAAGTGAGGAAGTCCCGGACCCTTCTACATCCCCACGTCTGCGATCTCCTGCAAGCAACCCCGGATTGCTTTCCTTCCAGCAGGGTTCGGGGCTCGGGAAGCCAGGAGCAGAACTGGAGTTGAGCTTCTCCCAAGCTGCCCTCCCGGGTCTGGCTCGGGGCCGAAACCCGCCCCATCAGCCTTGGTCCAGGAAGGCTGCCAGGCAAGGAGCGACCAGCCTGGGAGAGTAAGAGGGCAGGAGAGAAGCATCCTGCACTCTCAGGCCGGTGGCTGGTCTCGTCCTCTGTCGACACACCCCCAGTTAATTCCCTACTCACACACACACACTCACACACACACACACACACACACACACACACACTTAGATTCGAAACTAGCATGTTCACCCCTCCCACCAGCCCAGGTCCATCGATTAGAAAACACTAGTTGATTTCTTCCTGATTAAAAACAAGAAAGTGCAACAACTTCTCGGGAGCCGCAGGAACAGAGCAAGTCCATCTGCAGGCGTCCTCTTTCTATAGTTTCCTAGGAGTTAAGAAATCTGGCGGTCCCCAGTGAAAACGGACCCCGAGTGGGTGAAAGACAACGAACTCCTTCCCAGCCCTCCACCCACCCCCCACCCCCCCAGCTCCCGCCACCTCTCACCTCCTTAAGTTCCTTGGCCACGTCCTTCAGGTCGCCCAGGACTAATTCCAGATCCTCCACGATGATCTTGATCTGTTCCTTCACCTTGGTTTTGGAGGCTGCCGGCGGTCCCTCGGCTGGAGAGGACGAGGAGGGGGTCCCCTTGGACTTGGCTGACATTCTTTGGGGGCAAGCGAGGCAGGTCAGCACAGGCGGGCCAGCGGAGGCTGCTGCGCGCCCCGGTCCCCCCACATCCTGGACGCTCCCCGGGCAGCGGCGGGTGGTGGCTGCGCTCGGCGCTTGGCCGGGCGGCCGCACCGTGGTGGTGCTGCCATCGGCTCCCCAAGACTCGGCGCTCGGCGCCGGGCTGCAGACGGGCGAACAGCGCGCCTGCGCCTCCGCCCGCCGCTCTCGCGCACACACGCGCTCGCTGTTCCCCGCCCGCGCGCCGAGAGGGGCGCCCGGCCGCCGGCCCGGCTGTCAGCTGCAGTCCCCGGGCACGTGCCTCCTCCGGGATCTCTCCGGAACACCTGGGCGTCTGGGATCGGGGTCCTGCCCACCCTCTCGTCTAGATCCTGAAATGCCCTCCCTCGTCATTTGATCATGCTGGATGTCTTTTCACATCCAGCTTGGATTCCTTCTGTTTCCCCCACCAGCAGGGACCAGGATCCCCACCACACTTTTTCTGAAAAATTAATCAAGAACCACAGGCGGGTCAGAAGTTGGATTTAGGGTTAGTAAAAGCGAACCTAAATGTTTATCTAGGGCGAGAGTATGTCCAGAAGGCCTCCAGTCACTCTCCTACTCAGTGAAGAGTTAACACAGACGTACAGGTTTTAAAAATAAAAGGAGAGATGTCGATAAAATTGACCCCTCACCCCCTGGAATCATGATATTTAAAAAGTGTTCTTGAAAGAGGTAGCTTAATCCTGCTGATTCCACAAAGCTAATAGAGGATTTATTAATTGCAAGTCCTCTCACCAAAAAAATCCCCTGGGAGACTGTCTGAGTCATCTTGGCTCTACTTATCTGGGACAGTTGTTTTTTTTTTTTTAAACTGTCCTTCCTCTTTTCATGACCTATGTTGATGTATGTTTTGGGTGGAGGGGGAAATACACTGGGTCTCCTGTTGTGAGAGAGAATAGAAGAGTTTGCCTCCAACTTTTTTCTTTTTTGTTTTTGCATCTATTTCAAATCTTTTGCAACTAAATAAAGAGGAAATAACTTTTTGACTGCTCTGTTAAAAAGATCTAGGGAAGGGAGTTAATAGGAAGCCTTGGGTTTCATTCTCAGTAGGTGGCTAGGATTCTCATTAGTTAAAGTTCTAATTTCCTGAGTGGCAGACTCATGGGTAGCTATTGACGTAGAGGGCTGGATTTACTTTGTTTTCTTCAGTGTACTCTACTCCAAATTATTATTTTAACAGGCTTCCCATTTGGTCATGCCTTAGCAGGCATCTCTGTGTCTTGCTTCTCATAGCCCAGGTTGTTCCAACATGCTTCCATACAGGAAGAAAATCTTGGCAGCTCCCCTCTTCCTAGTCCCTTAGGCCCCTCATATTCAGTCTCCTCATTCTGAATAATTCATCTTGATAAATCCTTGTAAGTCATATTTGCAATATGGAAGAAAAAAATGAGACAACAGAAGAAAAACAGGAATTTAGAAGTGGTGTAAAGAAAATAAAAAAATTTTAAATTTAAAAATTTAAAACTCACTGAAAAATCAGAGGGAAAAGAAGAAAGGTAGAAAGCAGAGGCTGCTGGAAGAAAATTAAAATAAGGAAAGAATAAAGAAACCAGTGTGTGCTAAGTAAACTGGAGAGAAGAGGGAAGAAATAATTAGAAGTGTTAAATAAGTAACATGCTTGAGTTCTCTAAGGTAAAGAGAATATATAGTTTTAAATGACCATGTGTCTGCAGGTTCTTCTTTATATTATAAAGATGTAACAGTAGTAATAAGTATATACAACAGGTTTACAAACTCCTCCATTGTAAATTCCTAATCTTTAATTATACTCTTACTTAATATCGGAAGAAAGATAAGTGGTCAGAAATGGCAGGAAAGAAGATGAGAAAGAGGGAAGGTGCTACTCCTTTATATCTGAATTTTTGACTCTTAATAGTAGATAAGTGAATAGAAAAGCCCTCAAAACTCAGAAATAACGAAGTTAGGCAAGAATACTGGAAAATAGCAAAGAAAGTGGCATTTTGGTGGTTTTTGCCCACAGACAAAGTAAGTCTCATTAATATAAGAATATTTTCATGCTATGCTAAATCTCCTTCACTAACAATTAAAAAAATTATTTTCTCCTATAATATCTATGAAGTCAATCATGAATATTCACTGGAAGGACTGTTACTTCATGAAGCTGAAGCTCCAATACTTTGACCACCTGATGCCAAGAGCCTACCCATTGGAAATGACCTTGATGCTGGGAAAGGTTGAAGGCAGGAGGACAAGGGGACAACAGAGGATGAGATGGTTGGAGAGCATCACTAGCTCAATGGACATGAGTTTGAGCAAACCCCAGGAGAAAGTGAAGGACAAGGAAGACTGGTGTGCTGTAGTCCATGGGGTCGCAAAGAGTTGGACACCAGTTAGCAACTGAATAACAGTAGATTAGTGAGTCCAACTATTTTGGATCAAAATTGAATCATAATTATTACTCTAAAACATGCTATACACATCCATATCACAAACTACTTTTAAGTAAAGGCTATCCTCCACCGACATATCTATCATCTATCAATCTGTACATATGACATGGAGTTAACTGAAAGGAGAAAAGTTAAAATTGGCTTCCAAATCCAAACTATAACAGCTAGTCAGCCCCCAGCACTGATGACTACCACCATCTATCAGTCATTAATCAGGTATGCATAAAACATTCCTAAAGAAGAAAGTTTTACAAAGAGAGTTAAAGATATTGAGGGGAAGGAGACAGAATGAGAAGAACAAAAGGATATAATCAAGTCTACTCACTTTCTATTTTTTCTAATTACCCTTGGGAAAAATAGGTTCCTTTGTGGCTCAGCTGGTAAAGAACCCACCTGCAATGCAGGAGACCTGGGTCCGATCCCTGGGTTGGGAAGATCCTCTGGAGAAGGGAAAGGCTACCCACTCCAGTATTCTGGCTTGGGGAATTCCATGGACTGTATAGTCCATGTGGTCTCAAAGAGTCAGACACATCCCTTTGGTGCATCCTGTTCTTTCTCAGAGATTTGTATATATGATATTTTAAAGCCAAGATATGGTGATCACACAGCGAAAATGACACCTAATAAAATTTCTTATGAATGTGTTCATAAGTACGTTTATGTACTAGTGGTAGAGGCAAATAAGTGCATATGCAAACCATATCACTTATAAACTTAGAATAACAGACTGCTAATAGAAAAGTGTCTTATTTTTTTAGAAATGACTGTGCAGCCAGCATTTTATTCTTTCTGTCTCTTTAGTCAATATTTTCTGAGTGTTGCAGCAGGAAGGATTGGATAATTATAGGAGATCATCTAATGGTGGTCTGTTCAGTTCCAGGCACTTATCAATATTCTCCTGTGTGTGTGTTTAATCTACTGAATTCAAGCTGCAATAATTAACCTACATGAGGAACGCTACAACACTACCATACTTTTTAATTCATGCAGAACTCAAAAATATTCCCAAAATATTTTGTTGGCAGCAGCTTTTATTACTATACTATCATAATAATGTGCATTGCATCTTTAAAAAGAGGATAATATGCATGATAATGGCAACATTTAGTTTTCTTTTTTTTTCTTTTGTATAAACTTTGTAAAATCCAGTGAAGTCATTCGAGAGTTTTGAAAACATTAAGAAAAAAGAAAAAAAAATGGGGGAGTGACAACTTTGTTCCCACCAAAATAGTTTTCACTGGGTGAAAAATAACGGAGAACAACATGGATATCTAAGAGAGAAAACGCTGCTCGTGAATTGCAACAGAGAAAAATGAGTTAAGTTCTCCACGTGCACACTAAGAAAAATAATATGCCTAGGCAGCGATTCTCACAGTCACTAGAGCTTCTTAACGGATCAGTTCAGTTCAGTTCAGTTCAGTCACTCAGTTGTGTCTGGCTCTGCAACCCCATGGACTGCAGCATGCCAACTCTCATATCCACACATGACTACTGGAAAAATATACATTGGAGCTTGTTAAAGGATCCCACTACCAGGGTGTCTGATCCAGTAGGTCTGGGGCAAGGGTCTGAAATTTGTGTTCTGCTAAGTTTCTAGGCCAATGGAAGGGGTCAAACTCTGAAAGTCATTAGCTAGAAAGATTGAAAGAAAACTTTAGGCTTCTTTTTAGCCAAAATAACCTTAAAGATCATCCAGTTACAAATCTTCATTTGATAGATGGGGAAACAGTCTGGGGAGGCTAAATGGTACCTCCAATACATCACATCTAGGGAATACAAATTGGAAGCTAGAACCTCATACTGCCTCAGACATCTTGTGGTTTTGTCTCCATTTGTCTGGAAGGTCTCCTTTTTAATGTATCCATTGCTTTTGGCATGATGGCTGTCTATTATAGAAGCATATTGGTGAAAAACAAATGTGATCTGGAGTTAAAATACAAATACCCATTGTAGTATCCTGAGTAATTAGAGCTGTGTCTATTCCAATGTAGCTGATTAATAAATACTTGATAAGGAGGTGAATGAATGAAGCGTTGTCTGTCTCGTGTGTTTTGAAACTAATTTGACAAATATTTAGCAAATGGTTAGTTTAGGCAAGAAACTATGCTATGGAGTAGATGTGCCACTAGGATTAGCAAGACACAGTCCCAGCAAGAACAATTAGATAATCCCACACTTGACTCTAATATAAAATGACTTTACCTCAGAGTATCTCTTTTTTGGCCTTTCTCAACTATAGTCAGTTTACTTTACTTACCTACAAAGTTAATGAACATTTAACATTGTTTTCCTTACTTTTTATTCATGAGACAGAAACTGAACTTTTGCTTAACTGAACAAAGGGAATTGTCTCATAGCTTAACTATAGAAAGGCAAGAAGAGAAATATTTTCCAGTAGAACTGGAGCCAGAAATGGAGCCAGAGTCCATTGGGACTACTTATTTCTGCCCTTGTATCCCATCCCCTTTTAATGGATTGGCTTCAGTTTCTCCCTAAAGTTGAACTTTGGCCAATGCTGAATCC